ACTATCCTAAATGCACTTCACGTGGCAGGCGCGGTACTTTGGAGCCCGTAATGCGATATTTCGTGGCAGGCGCAGGACTTGGTCGACTCAGATCGCTGATTCCTTGCGCCTGCCATGCAACTGACAGCCAACACACAGTCAACACACAGTCAACACGACAGTCAACACGGGCACTTTTCCTGAAAATTCTCAATCGAGGCGCTGATTTGGACAGTTGCAGCCCCAACTCCAGTCTTAGAATGGGATTTCTAAGGTTTCCTCACACAACGCACGTTTTGCTTGAGAATTCTCAGGAAAAGCGCTCGTGCTGACTGTCGTCATGACTGTGAGTTGACTGTCAACTGCATGGCAGCTATATAAGCACGGCAACAGTAGATACTGCGAAAAAGACGTGGAGAGGTGGCCCTTAGCATTCACCTTTGTGGGCACAGGTTGTGTTGACTATGGATACACCATGATGCCGATCAACGTTAGCAAAAACATCTCCCCGGGTTCTTCAAAAAACAGCCATCAAGTCAGGGATGAAAAGAATTCTTGAATCCCCCGTATCCCCCCAGCTCAATGTTGCTGATTGGTCTCCTGACATGTACCGACCTGAATGGCTGTTTTTCTTTTGAAGGCCGCTGATACCGAACCTGACCCGACAACATTGAAGTTGGGGTGCAAGGGGTTGAGACGGTGACGTGGAACGACTAGCGATGGCTCCCGGTATTGTTGTTGTGCCGTGCGCATTTTCGGGCTTGTTTTCGTGGCAGGCGCAAGGGAAACCTCGTGTTTTGGTGGTCCATGACAGGTGCAGAAGATCGGAGCGGCTTACCGTCGATGTGTGGATTTCTAGGCAGGCGCAGTACTTTGGACATGATGATGATGGTTGTCTTCGGCGTGCCCTGATTTTGTAGCAGGTGCAGTGAATCAACGGAAGGTTGGCGCGGTCCCTTGGTTGCAGATGTGCTTGGGCCATCACATTGTCTGGCTGGCCGTTCTGCTTGACACTGAGAGTCAGACTGCTGCAGCTACGGTACGCTCACGTAGGAGCCTTGCGTGCGCCCAGTTGCGCAACGCAGGACGCCCAGGGGATGTCCTCCTGTGATTCTATACAAGCAGTGCCTTAGCCGCTCCATCGCACTCAGCTTAATCTGCACACGAGGCGGTGCTCATTTCACGGAGGAGCTCCCAACGCTACATGGCCTTCCTGGTCAAGAATGGTGACAAGGCTGGCCTTGTCGGCGTGCAGTGTCTCATAAGAGTGTCCGCGTGCACGCTGTCATGGCGTCACGTCTACATGCTGCTGCCATCTGGACACCGGCAGCAGATTAACAGGCGAAGAATGCGAAGAACAGGAGGACAAGGTTTGGAGGCTGGCTGAAAGGGTTGGCCAGCGCAGCGCGGCCAGCGGACAACAGCAGGACAACTGCAACCACCAGGAGGACAAGACGAGAAGGACGCAAGAGGACAACAGCAGGAAAACTGCAAGCACCAGGTTGACAAGAGGAGAACAAGAGGAGGACACATGGGTTGGAGGAGGACAAGAGGAGGACACGCCCCGGACACTGCATACAGGGGCGCAGACAGCCACTGTGGCCAGCTCTTTTTTCTTAAGAGGGAACCCCAACAGTAAACTGTTTGGGGAAAAATCATTTTGCACTTGGTAGCGCTGCTGCTGTTGCTGTTCCTGGGCTTGCTCCTGCTGCGGCTGCTGCTGCTCCATGCTGCTCCTGCAGCCACCGATCCAATCGAAAACCTCTCTGCCCTGACAGTAGTATTATATATATATATATTGATTTTTGGGATTTGGATTTAAAAGAGCCATGGGAAACAAAGCAATGCCGCAGAGAAGCATCCCTGCGATTGATTATTGTCGATGCAACGAACAAACTCAATCAAGTAATACACGTTTGCTGCATCCTTTGGGGCCCTGGGCCGGGCGGGTGTGTAGCTGAAACGACCCCGACAGGCACGTCACACCATTAATGCCAAAAAATGTTATAACATTGTATATTTCAATTGTTCGTTGTCCACGGCCCCCTGGCATCACTACAAAAAAAATGTTTAATCAATTGATTAATTGCCGTTTTGTTCCACAATCTATCACGCATGTATATCAACGTCCTTTCTGCCAGACTCCTATACATCAGTCAAAACAAAAGGTTTTGTTCCTTGTTCCGACAAAACATCCCGATGTTTGCGTTTTTGATCCGCTGGCCGTGTAACCTGTGTTTCGACCTGTCAACGCTGTCACCATTCGACTGGCTAAGGAAGGGAAACTGGTCGAGAGCAACACTGCGAAGAAGCGTTTCGAACACTTTGTTGAGGCCATCGGCAGCATCACCCCAGTGCGACTCCCGTTGCAGCGCACTTACGAAACAGCGCAGCTGTGCCCAACTGTGCCCTGCTCTGTCCAGCTGTGGAGGTTTGGTGTTGTTTCGATTTAGGGCTCCAAAACTACTTAGGATGGAGTTGGAACCAAAGGCTTTGTCGAATGGCGCAAATGTGGAGAAGGTTTTACCGTGATGATGAACGATCAGAAGATAGCAAGATCAATTGATATCAATTGAGGGATCTTCATGGATGCCCTATATTTTGTTTGGTTAAAACAATTTGGAATTTTTGCAATCGACTGCCAGGACCCAGTAAATATAGCGCAGCAGACACCAGTAGCTGCCATGAAAGAACAACCACAGTTTTGTTTTTCTAATGTCATCGGAAACCACGTGACTGAAATTACATCTTACGGAAGCAGAGTGTGGCCCCCTTCCAAAAGGTGTTTCACAACACCATGATCATTTTGTTCATGGCCTCATTTTCCCATCTTGTTCTCGGACCTGCCGTGCAGGAAGATGAGCTTATGGAGCCCATTATGGCCTCTTGGTTTGGGGTGGGTTTTCTTGGCAACAGCATTTGCAAATAACAAGATGAATTATATGACCCAGTTTGCATGGATGTTCATGCCATATCAGTGGCAAGGAGTGAGTTGAGCGGGGTGGTAACCGCAAACAGCTACTAGTCATTAGCCTGATATCTTCCAACAGTGTTTAAATGGTACAAAACCAGACTTCATTTTGTGTTGACCAGTGCACAGTGTGCAGTCTGAAGGAAAAGAACACGATTCTGTGAAACACTCGATGCTGGCTTTCAACCACGACACATGCAAACAAGCCGTTCAGACTCTTCACGTGGCAACATGATCCCCTACCCAGGTGTGCTTTCCTCCTCCGGGCATCGTCCCCATCGAGATGGTTTGCGAGGTTTGGCGTCCCCAGAATTCCTCGGTCACGTCCAGGGCGGATAGGAATGGACACGCGTCCATCGTTTTGGGTTGGATTTTGTTTGAGGGTCAACGGTCCAAAAAGTTTCTGAAGTGTTCCACATCCTGCAGCTGCTATGCATTGTCCTTGTCCGCGTTTGAGAGGCAGACGTTGTCCATATCTCACCAAAAGACCCCTCAGAAGAGTCCTTATAGCCTGTCAATCTTTTGAGATAATGTATATGAAAGCATGCCAGTTATATATCCTTTATACATATATGTAATATTACCTGAAGTAAGGAGTGCCTTTGGCTAACAGATAGTATATATATATATTGACAATATAATAATATATATATAGTTTTATGCGTTGTTTCTCCAATCCAAAGGTCGCAGGTTTAGTCCGACTCATGTCATGTGTCTCAAAGACAGAGTCCACCTGTGTCAGTCATTTAATGTCTCACTGAACTGGTGAGGTTATTGGAGGGTTGTTTGGTGAGACGATGCTTGGCAACAATCCTTGAACTGATTTTGGGCAGACGCCATGCTTGGAGCATAGGAGTGTCCACTGGGATAGTTCTGCCATGGCCCCTCAAAATGGACAGGCAGAGATGATGCCTTGGACCATCTCCCCTGATCCTTATCGGCTCTCGCTCGGATCCCCGAGCAGTCCCGTCGCGATTTTTGTCGGCCAGCGTACGGCGTACGGAGTTGATTTGGGTCAACAAAGCCTGGTGAGGAGTCATGGATTCCAGGTCTTTTGGGGTGTTTTCTACTGCTGCTTCCTACTTGGGATAGATTGCATTGCAATGAAAAGGGTGATGTTGGTGCTTGCACACATTTGGTGCCCTACAGTAGACAACGGTCACTGAGATCCATTGGGCTTGCAACCATGTCCTTATAGATCTGACCGGTTTCTTTTGACCCTGTGATTGATGGGTTTGGATGTGACCAGATTACTACTGCCAACAATTGCCCTGTGCATGCTAAGCATGGCCTAGTTCAATCTTGCTATATGACTTGCCAGTTAAGTGTTCTAAATGACCCATGACGCATGAGCTGAATTCTACCAGGTAAGTGCTAGTGAACCCAGGGTTGTCGACGCAGCTTCTCTTAGGAGACAACCGCCACAGAGCAAGGATATGTGACTTCTGGCATGGTCGAATCTAGACGGAGTAAGCATGTGAAGCTCAGAAAAGAGACGCTTGCACACCTGCTTTGCACATGCCTTGCGATCTTGTGACATGTTATTTGGATCTTCATGTACGTACATGGATGTACATGGCTCCAGAACAAATCAACAATCCTCAGAAAATCGTTGAACTCTCCGCAGTCACATGAAGTCACCCACTTGGAACCTCTATTTCCCAAGCACTTAAGAGACTTCAAGAGGCCCAGAGGGTTGCCCCGTTCCCTGCCGGATCGACCATGTCGCCATGGCACGGCCCTGGTTGCTGCTGGCCGGTCTCAGCGCCTTCATGGGCTCCGTGTCGATGGTGCTCTACATGGGCCACCTCACCTTGTGGAGCGGACGGCGCAGCTCTGGACGGCGATCGAAGGCGACTTCGAAGACACCGCTTCTCGCAAAAACGAGCGAGAAGCGTTTGCTGGCGATGCATATCATCGAGCACCTCGGCGTCGCAGTCCGCGGACGGCGGTGGAGCGGTGACGGTGATGGCCTCCTTGAGGAATTCTTAAGGAGGCCATTTAGACCTCCGTGAAATGTGACCCAGAGCTGGTGGACTGCACATGTTGGACCCTTCTTCCGGGCGGATCACAACAACTTTTGCAGATCCAATATCTTCCAAGGTCGTTGAGCCATTTCATGGGTTTCCCAGCGCAATCCAGTCAGGTAACCTGTGGTTTCCATGCGTATAATACAGAGAACCATACGGCTTGAAGCTTGCTTCCGCACTGAACTGCTGCTTCAGCTTTTAGTCCTAGCTCCCAATTCAATCATTGAGCTGCAAACTCAGTCAGATCAGAGCCACTGATATGCACTGAGAATGTGGTCGACCCGCCCTGTTCCAGCGGGGGATGTTGCTTTTTGTTTAGGGTCAAACTAGAAAACTGAGAGATCTTAAGTCAAGACTGCACCACCTAGATAGTTTCCGTAGCTTGTGTTTGAGTTCTTGTCGGGCATTATGGGGCTATATGTTTCACACATCAACAGGATTTGTGCTCATTGTGTCCGTCTTAAGAACGAACATACATGTAAACCGTATACATGTAATGTTGCTAGACCGTCCTGTTTGCTTGACGGATTTTGCAGAATGACACCATGTTCAAGACATCTGAGAGATCTTCGCTTCCGCCCACGACGAAAGCATCCTTTTCAACCCACGACTGAGCTTGGCAATCTATGACTCAGATGCCTATTTGAGAGCCGCTCCAAAAGGAGCCCTACGACCCTACGGTCCCAAGGCAATTCGGTGGCGCTTCCTCCAGTTTGCTGCAGCTCTTGCTCTTGGCCCAGCGCAGCTCACGTCGCGCCGTGCTGCCAGGGGTCGATGCCCGGAGCAACGATGGCTCGGTGTTGAAATCGTTTGACCACCGTGCCTGGGCCGGTAGAGGACGCTACGTGAGGGGCTCCTGGCCGTAGGACGCCGTAACAATGGGCATCGAAACGAACGGAGCTTTTTTGCACGGCGTGAGTCCCATGGAGGGGTGGCGGAGGTTTTGAAGGGGGCGTAAGAGGAAACGACCGGCCTACCCGCAGCCCAACAGAATGGCAATACACAGCATCACCTTTGAGAATGAGTCTATGGGGTTCTTTGGCATGACTAGAGCACCTTTCCTGTTTGGGACGAACTTGGGGATGAGTGGCTGAAGATCCAGCCCAAACACATCACGCACAGCAGATTTCCCTACACTCAAGAGCTTTCAGGGGTCAATTTCAGGGGTCATTGCTTGGCTCAATTTCAGGGGTCATCGCTTGGCTTATGTATGTAACAGTTAAAACAACAGGTGCATACAACATAATATAATACACATATTGATATGATATTATATTCAATATATATATATATATACGTTCCACACATTGACTCATTGCTTGCTTCCCCACACATCGACTCATTGAAGTCAGCCTGGCGCACCCGTCTGACTCACCAACATGGAAGTGGATGGCATGGTGCCGACAAGAAGGCTACTTTCCTCTACCAACAGGGGGTAACATCCGCATTCCGTGTTCGTTGGAGTGTACTTGAGGTCATGTTGAAGACTTGGACCACTTCTTGGACCTCTCCGCTTTGGCGCCTAAAACCGGCACCGGAAACGGCACCAGAAGCCGTCCACCCATCTCCTTCCGCTCGCACCTGGCAACGTTCGGTGCTCGCTTGGACGCGGTGATGATCTTTGTGAACCCACCAGAAAGGAGGAGCCGAACCGGTCATTTTTGGAGGAAGGAAGGGTGTGTTTTTGTTCGCTGTTTTTTTTTTTGTGTGTTGTTTTATATAACAAACTGATTATATATATATATATACGATTGAGAAGCATCAGACCAGATAGGGAGGATTGCTTGTTTGTTGTTTTTTTGATAAGGCAGGAGAGCTTCTGTTGGATGTTACATTCATTCATTGTGGTCATAGTTGTGACACAATTATGAGAACAGGTCCTTTTGCTTGCTTGTGATCCTACGTTGCGGTGTTCTTTCTTTATTCAACACGATAGTTCGTTTTTTTAATGGTTTGGTTAAGTACAACTCAGACATACATCATAGACTGCCAGCATGTGTGTGTGTGTTTGTTTTTTGATAGACACATGATGACAAATGACCTACTCAGAAGCCGCATCGAGAGATGCTTATCAGGATATGGGGTGTTACTTTGTGCTTTCAGGTTCCTACTATATATAATTCACTCTGTAATAAACAACTTTTCATTTGACCAGGTTTCCAGGGTTGCTCAAGGTCCGGGAGACTAACGACCTGGATGTGTTTGAAGCGTGGCAGGACCATCCAATGATTGTTTAAATCTACCTTCAACCCTCCAACTGAGGGTCCCTAAATCTCCAGAAAGTCCAAAAATTGTCCCTTTTTTCATGGTCCCAGTGTTGGTGATTTGGTGCTCCAGAGTGCTTTCAAAACCCTCGACCCGGTTTTGGAAGCTCCAGCCATGGAAAACCCACAAATACGTGGACTTTCTGGACCTCCGGTCGCTGTCAGGAAGGGACCATTCAGGAGCGGGTTGTCGATCCGCAAGGTCTCGTGAGGGAGAGTTGCGGTCATGAGAATCAAGACAAGATAGGCTAGTTGTTCATGTCGGAGGCTTCTGTGGCACAAAAGCAGGACAACTTGTGTTTCCTTGTTTGGGATATAATTAGGTTGATCTGTGCAACCGGTGGTCCTCCGCCCCTTGCGGCCTACTGGCCGTAGCGGCGAGGAAAGATCCCGGACTTGTGAGGTGCCCTGGAATGGGGATTGATTCAGATGGAATTCCAAAATGATCACCTTATTTGAGTAGACTTGTACTGGGTCTGGTAGCCTTTTAGAGCACGTGGCGAGCCTCCGCCTCTCCTTTCCTTTCGCAGTAATCTCACAAAGCAGCTGACACAGAAGTTGAATGAAGGGCAGCGACTCGTAGTGAACTGCAGCTGGATTTGGACTGCTTGCTTGCGCCATCCAACGACCCTTGCCTTGGCGAGCCTACAGATCAGATCGACATGGTCTTTGTTGACGGCTTAGTGGGGTACCAAGAGATTTGAGTCAATGGTATATTATATAAGTATATTGTAAACTCTTGATGAATACACTCCCCTATTTGGATTTTCAGACCTCTTCATATATGAGACAGGTTTTTCGCCGTCTACATCAGGCGGCCTACCTCCGTTTCGGTTTGGTGCCTGGCGACTGGAGGAATCAGTCATCTTTAGGCTCAGAGGCTTGCTTAAAAGCACCCGTCCCTTGGTATTCGGTCGATCACCAGATCCCTTTGATGCAAGTATACCACTCCTAGTCTATAAATGAGTTTCACTCGTTCTCTCAATCAGAAGCCTTCCCCCAACCTCAAAGGGCATGAGGAATCCACCAGCTCCACCAGCCCCGAATTCCGTCGCAGAAACCCAGGAATCCGAAGGACCTGTCGGACCGAACTCGACCCGTCGACCCGTCGGTGGAAGGACCCATCAGGTCACTATCCATGACTATCCCAGTTGGCTACCCCACCTTAGGGTCCGGTCCCTTCAGGTCACTTGACCTCTCTGGGCTGCTGACCACCCAAAACATCCATCTCTGAGGACCTGTAGCAAGATCTTCATGGTGGGCCGCTACGATTTTCGAGGACTGGAAACCTGGAGCTTGGCGCCCCATGCGCCGGTGCTGTGCTTCGGACATGACTTTGTGCAGAAGAACAGCTCCGTGGGCGCTTGGCTGGAGAAGAACTTGCAAGAAAAAGCACTGGTGGCCATACTGAACTGGGTGGGGGCCTCCCAGCCTGCATCAGGAATGTACGACTTCTCTTTTAATGTCGTCACTTGTAGTTATCGTTTCAAGGAGCACCCGTTGAATCACGGGCCGAGGTTCGACCCACTCCTTCCTGTGAACCCTTGCGTCTTTGCTCCACCATCTCGGATGCGCGCGGGACCAAGCCCAGCCTGGAGAGTCATATCCGGGAGAATCTGAAGCTGAGCTCCACCGTGCACCGCTACGCTGCACAGTTCTTGGCAGAGCATCAGCGCCTCGGAACAATGGCACGTGCGACGGGTGTGGCTTCAAGGTGCTAGACGGGTGCAGCTGGGGATTGGAGCTATTGCAGCTAGTAGCCTTTGAGTATTAGAAGAGATGGATGACTCTGATGGGTTTAGGATTGGATCAGGGCAGAATCAAAGGAACCAACCGGAACCAAGAATGCCACAGGTCACATTGATTTTTTTGGTGCTCTTCATGTTGTTTCACTGGGACAGCACCGACTCAACCTGGAGGAGGTGGCACAAACTATACATGTACGCAGTACATATAATTGATGCCTCAAGCCATGTACCAACCCAACATATCAAATATATAATATAGATATAGTTATAGATTTATAGAATAACCATACATAATCATATAATATATAGTTATAGAATGTTATAGAAAATAACCATACATGATATATATATATAGCCCAATTCAGCCATTTCCAGTGGGACCAACTCCAAGCAGCGGAGCAGGGACACCAGGTGCCAGGAGCCGCGGTCGCTCCTTCCGCAGCTCGGTCGGGGTGGGCACCACACCCGACGACACGTACTGGGCGCCCCAGCTTACATGGCTTGAAAAGTAAGTGCATGAAGTCCATGCTCGACCTTTGCGAACAAAAGCGGTCATGGGGAGTGGCTCCCAAGTTTGGACAAGCACATGGATGAGCAAATGAGTGAACACAGGTGGCAATAGCCCATAGGTTTTGGAGGTTTAATTATTGGAGGCCGATTGTATATAGGGGATTTGGAGTCATTGGCAAATCCGTCTCCGCTGACTGGTGCAAAGTCAGTTGGATAATTGACTATAAGAAATCAAGGATCTGAAGGCCGGAAGGGGGACTCCTATGTGTTGTTTTCCAAAGTCATCATCAACACTCTCAGGTTGCAGAGCTACAACGCCGTTCAGATGCGCGCGGAAATGGTGCTCCATCATCGATACCTCAGTGCGAGCTGCAACGACAGTGGGGTGTACACCTGGTTTTCATCCTTGAAAGAACTTTTCAGCAACAAGGAAACTTGGTTTCGTGCCAGGGATTTGAAGAAGGGCGGTTCCTCCACTCTGCAGTGGTTTGACAATCAGAGCAGGAATACCCTGATGAGATTGGAGGCCGAGGTATGGCAAAGCTCGCCCGCGACGTTTTTGGACTACGATTGTACATCACTGTCACTTGGCATTGATGCCCTGTCACGTGAGAAAGCAGCATCACTGTACTGTCACTTTTCTGTCCTTTGTGTTGTATCACTGTCACTTGCTTGAGGAGTTGTACACTCTATATACCCTACGAATTAGGTCGCTTAATTTTGGGAGCCCATGCGAGATAGATCATGGATGATCGTATATAAGACTCGGCATGAAGACGCGGGCGGTGTCGGGACATCGGCGTGGTTGGGAGCAAAGGGTTTGGTGGAGAACGCCCCAGCACAGGGCGGCACGGAGCCCACAGCCCAGTAGAGTTTCCGGCACAACTCACCAGTTGAGGGGACTGTGGACGTTTCAGGGAAAAGGTCTGTGGAACTCGCATCAAGCAAAGCAAGTAACATCAAATAACCCATGCAATCAATACTAGGGCTCTCCAAACTTGTTGTTGAAAGTGTCCACAGGTGGAGACACTGGGCATACTTCAGTTTCATTCTGTTAGCAGGGATGCCTTACCATCTCCATGTTCCTGGCAAAGTGGCCGGGGAAGACCCTTCAGATGCTTGGAAATCAACTTTCAGTCTTACCATCTCCATATTGTTGCTGGGTGGGGGGATGGGGGAACACTGTAATAATACCAAGACTTCAAAGTGACCTCTTTGGAGTCTCTAAGTGACCTCTTTAGCAACTAAGTGACCTCAGCCACTGGGATCTCAAGGACGGTCACTGACTGAAGCTCCTGGTATATGTGTTCCATATACCAATATTGTATGTAATTGTATAATGATACCGTATAATGATCATTGTACAATGATACCGTATAATATGATACCGATATCCATGTATGTAATTCTATATCGTATAATGATACCAATTGTATAATATGATACCAAAGGTATACTAATGATACAATATGATACCAATGAAATATCAATGTATATATGAGCCACGGTCAAAACATGCGAAGACCACTTTAGTAAAGAGGGGTAGGTTTGTGCACGAAACCCTGCAAAACGATAAGGTCCACCTCAAAACCGATAACCCCAGCGCTGTATATGATCATAAGTATGCGACGAACTCAAAACACTGTAAAACGATAAGGTCCAACTCAAAACCGATGACGTCCATTTTTTTGTTGAAGAAGAATAAGGAGTTTTGACCGTCCCTCATATATATATTTTTTAATTATCATATGTTCGATACCAATTGGTACAATGATATCCATGTTTTCGGGATGTAAATATGGACCATGTACCGGTCCTTCAGGTCACCCGTGATGTGCCTCTTGGTCGATGTGGCGCCCCTCGGCGCGTGGAAGGATGGTCGGTGTTCGGAGCCATCGCTCAAACGGAGGTCGTATCGTGTCGTATCTAATGTATAAGCCCCTTTTTGGAACCTTTGGACTACTCCATGCAATTAGCTGTACTAGACTAGAATGTACACATTCACCAGCCAACATACGCCATCTATAACCATCTCAAGTGACTTGAGTCGGCCAAAACAACGCAACGGAAACACCAACACCGAAACTGAAGTAAGAAACCCAAATCATCCAAATTGGACAAAATATGTATTGGACATGTTGAAGAAACAAGGTCAATCCCTGCAACTCTTCCAGTTTGGATGGCTGTAGTCCAGTTCGTCTTCCCTTCCTCCAGTTGGTTGATGGGAGGTCGACCTGACCCCACCTTCTCCCACCTCTTCCACAGTGGCGCCAGGCTCCTCTCTGGCGCCGAGCGTCTCGTGCTGCTCGGCGGCTCGGGCGGCGTGGCCGCGCTGGTGCGCACCGAGCGCCTGCGGCGCCGGAAGCCGCTGGAGAGCCGCTCGGCGCGGCACCGGGCGTGCACCGGGCGAGTGGCGGTCGGTTGGTTTGGGGGGGGGGGGGGCAAATGGCGGTGTGTTTGTTAGCTTTTTTGTGAGGGTTGGGGCTGAAAATGCAGAGTTGATAGGCTGAAAGCATCCACGCAAAACACTGGGACGCATGTGGATGAGCTGGTAGTGGTAAGACAAAGTTAAAGTATTTGATCATTTCCAATCCAATGCACTTGCACAACAAAAGGGGGTGCTGTCACTTAGTTATTTCTATGATATAGTATATTATATAACCCAGACACTCAAACCACTCCAATGTAGGCAAATACAGTACATGATCATACATGGAATGTTTGGGGAATGTCCGCAAGCATCAAGAGTAATATGATTTGGGAGAGGTAGGACACTTTGTCCCCCACGCCCATCCGAGGCATCATCCACAGCATGCTGCATTCAGAAGGATGCAGCCCATCCATGCCCAATGGCTGATTGTTTCATGGAATCCCATGAAATACACCACCCTTGTCAACATCACGCTGAACATCCTGACCATCAATGACCAGAAGCTGAGAAGACTTGGCACACATTCAACCGGACTCTACTGAGTAGATGTCCGGATTAGACTGAGTAGACTCCAGTCCGGATTCACCAGGTCTTCTCACTTTCGACCAAAAGCTCCGGCTTCGTTCTCTTGCCTTCTCTCGCCTCCGGCCTTCCTTCGGCCTTCGAAGAGCAGAGAGAGGTTGGGTCCGAGCGGAGAGCCGTTCCGGACTTCCACAGAGATCGAGCGATCTGGAAGAGTCGGAGTCTTTTGAGGTCGAGTCCAGTGGATTGGACCAGGAGTGTGTCAAGGGACAGAGCTTGCAGGTGCAGTTCGTAAGAAGCACACCAAACATTGAAGTCGGCAGGATCATCCAATAGGTGTCCTGGCTGGAGTAGGATAGGCAGGACACCCAGGACACCCAGGACCCAGGTAGGTGTTCATTGCAGGTTTTAGAGGTGTAAGACTTGGACCCTTCAACATGTATTATCGAAACCCACTCACTTCTGATGCCGGCCGCGAGTGTGGAGGTGGATTGAGGTTGGACATACTGTATCGGATGGAACCCTAAATCCATGCAGCAGGGGTCTCATAGATCCGGGCTGGCCCTTTCTTTTCCAAACTGTTTGGGGATGTTTCAGATCTAAAGCGGCGAAACCATACATTTTGAGGATGCAGTTGAATGCAGGTAAACAACACATGTAGCCTTTGTGGAAGTCTTGGTCAAGATTGTCAAGGATTTGACAGCCTCTCCAAGAAGGTTGGATGTGGAAATATAAGAACTTCATAAGTTTGGTATAGACAATTTCACCCGCCTGGCGAGCTCCGTCATGCTAGCTCCCATGCCTCTCAGCAACTTGCGAAACTGGAGCAGTCTTGCAGAGATCCACTCGAACCACTGACCCGTCGACAATGACAGCTTTCCGAGACTGGAAAAGAATTTTGGAGAATCAGAAAAGGCATTATTGCTCGAAAAAAACATGTTGCTATGGAAGACATGATGCTGGTCCTCAACACAGATCGGTCTGAGTCAAATTGTAAGTATATGTCGAGTGACGAGGCATAGTAAATATCACCATTGATCATTGATCTTTATATAATTAAGATACAAAAAGGATCAAAAAGGACTACACTACACAAAGTCTTTGTTTAGAGACGCTTGTAGGGGACGCTTGAGAAACAAGTGATTTTAAAGCTCGCACCCTTGAACATGTGAAAGACCCATGAAGGGCACCATCCCTTGCGGTTTCTGACGGATTCTACTTTTTTTTTTGTTTGTGTATCACTGCAGTGGGGCCATGATGTAAACACTGGGACCAACCACGCCAAGTCACAGGGCTATGTGCACTGCGCACGGCTTCTCAGCGATCTCAGCTGCGGTTCGCCCTTGTACCACCAACGGAAACCAACCAGCTGCGTCCTCAGGCCCACCTTGGACTGCCGCGTGCAAATCTTCCGGGCGCGGTGTTTGCACCGCCGAAAGCGCCGATTGGTTCAGACGTCGCCCACAGCAGACCGGAGCGGACAAGTTGTCGACCGCGGGGACAACGGGAAGTCCTGATGGTTTCCGTGATAGGATGGTGATTCATGAGGACATCAACCGCCTTCCTGGGTGCCATCTACTCCGAAATCATTGCGATCACTAAACTAAAAATATATATAGTGCATGAAAGGGACCGCGTCCAGTGGTCGGACACGTCCAAACCAGCCCAGCTGGCATCCCTGTGTGTTGCGCCAAGCAGCACAGTTTTGCATGTGGGACTCGCGAACTTCAGCGAGTTGTGGAAAGACTGGAAAGACTTTCTAAGACCCTTTTTCCATACATGTCCTATCATCATCATCATCATCATCATCATCATCATCATCATCATCATCAT